AAAAGGTTGGAATATTAGCAGGAAAGGCAACTAACATAAAACAAGGCAACCATTTAGCTATTACAGCACAGTAATTCCATGGAGAGAAATGCAAAACAAAGTTGGGAGCAAATAATACACACAAGAAGAATTTTTGCACAGTTTGCTGTCTTACAAAGAAAAGGCAGAAAGGACAATGGCAGCGTGACCTGAAAGCAGAGATGAAGCTGAGAGCAAACATGAAGGGGGTGACACTGCCAGGGGGAAGGAACCGCGAACACGCGGCTTCGCCTGCTCTCTTCTAACACACACGTTATATAGAGTAAAATATACACTAAATAGTATTTATTTTATTCTTTTGTACTCCAGTAGTAAAATAAATACTATGTGTCAGAATGGGAGTTGACAGACCCTTTTCCTTGTCTTGTACAACTGTATTTTTTTTGTATTTTTTGGTATTATTCATTGCCTCTCTCCACTGAGGTGCTCGAACTGGTACACCAAAGACTCTTGAGTAACTTGGGCATAGCAAATCAAAGGCTATCTGTTACATACTGTTGTTTAAATGGCAGTAACAGATATTAAACACACTCAAACTGCATGAAAGCAGTGTTTTTGAAATGGAATTCTCTATATCACTTTCTAAAGACTCCTTCCAAGTTTAGAATTCTGTATTTAAAAAACTCTCTTGATTATAAATTGCCTGTAGATTGAGTCAAGGCGGAAAATAAGAGATTTCTAAAATTTGTTCCACCAAGCAAGTAGAGCTAAGAGAGGATACGATTTTAGCTGGACATCATTTACTGTTTTAAATTCCTTTATTTGTCAGATAAAATGGCATGGCAAATTTCTCAAAGGTCTCAGGAAGCCCTAGGATCCTTCACAGCTATATCTACAAGAGAAAATTCCCATCCTAGGGTAAAAAGGGCAATGCAGTTGTAAACCATAAGAAGCTTAGAAGAACCCCTGCAAGAGAAAATACAAGAAGGGAAGTTACATTAAAGAGCAGAAAGTAGTTAAGCATTTGCAGAGTCTGGAAAGTTGTATTTTTTGGAGCCATTTTGTTCAGGCCTCTGAGGGTGAAGGAAATCACCTGAGCTCTCTGGCACAGGGCAGATGAGGCAGTATTCCTGTTCCTGGAGAAGTTTGACTAAACAGTCATACTTCCCTTCCTCTTCCCCTTTCCCTGTTTTTAATAGCAGGAATTGGACTGCCCCAATAGCAGCAACAAGGAAAGCTTGTGCAAAGAAGCTATTGCTGCTACCTGTCTTTTCCAGAGCCTGTCACACACATCCTTGCACAACCTACATGGTTTAATTAGTATTCACCTTAAAGAGATTCTGATGCACTATAAAAATCCAGATAAAGAGAGATATTTCCTATATTTGCATGGTTAGCAAGGTTTCTGTTACGCATAATCATCACCTTGATGTATCAATATCAAAGGTAGATTTCTTTGATCAAAATCCATTGTTCTTCAGCTATGGATGTTCTGATTAGAGCTGACAGCAAAAAAAAAAAAAAAAAAAGTCTTTGTAGGGTTTTTTGATAATTGACATCTTTTGTGCAGAGCCTTTGCTTTTGATACCAACACCCTCTGTTTATTGTCAGCTAGGTCACCTAGTTCTCCTGGGGAACCTCCTGCCAGGCTCCACAGCACAGGAGCATTAGGGTTTCTGAACCTTAAGTGCATCAGGTTGAAAAAGAGCTGACAATCTGGATGTCCAGATTCTAGGCATGAGGTTCCCATTTTCCAAGCATCCAAAATTCCAGAGAAGCCCTATGAACAGGCAAATCCAGGTCAGGGTTTCTATTCTGTAAACAACATTCACATATTATTTCATTCTCAACACTAATGAAACTAAATAAAATCCTGAGGAAACAACTATCTGACTGCCAGCTTGTCCCAATTTGTTTTACAGGCATTACAGGCACAACTTGAACTGTGAATAGCTAATGATATAATTTATCTTTTCATAAGGAAAAAGTGAGGCAACAATCCTAGAGTTCTGTGCCTGCAAAAACCTAGCTGGAGTAGGAAAAAGGGTATCACCAACATCAGCAGATAAGTTGGTGATCCCAACTTACTGCACCTTGAGACATCACTCCAAAGGGCCTTTGTTCCCATAAGGGGTTCCTATGACTCCCTGATAACAATCACAAAACTTAACAGCAAAAGAAAATACAGAAAAGACTTCCTGGGAAGGTCCTGACTTTGTCCTGAACTTCTTCTGAACGTACTGGTGAGTACAGTACACGTACAGTGAGATGTTAATTATTTATATTTAACACAACAAAATAAAACAAGAAAACCTCAACTCCCTTAACTAATGGTTTCTCAAAAATTCTTATTCCAACTGACACATGCACGACAAGTTTCAGCTCATTAAGATTTGAGGAGGAGGAGTTACACCACCCAGAAAAATGGTGTTTATGACAGACATGACAAAAGATCATTCATCACGGGGTTCTTCTGTGTGAAGCAGTAATAAAGCCTAAATGACACTGCACTTCATTAGTAATTTATTTCACAGAGCACTATATATACACACAACCAGCATAACTCTATTACATTTTTTATAGTGCCATTCATTGCGGTGCTCCACATCCTACACCCATATGACAAGAGAGCAATGGAGCTTTTTCTGGGGAAGATACAGGCAGCCAACAGCAGAGCAGCACACCCAGAGGAAACACCTCCGTGCCAGAAGAGCAGAAGTACTAATTTTCAGGTGAAACAAGGAAAATACAAATCAAAGAAGAAAACAGAACCCTCAGAGATGGAAAACTAAATCAAAGAATACTTCATGTTTGCTTGCCACTTGGTTCAATCCTACACCCATATGACAAGAGAGCAATGGAGCTTTTTCTGGGGAAGATATAGGCAGCCAACAGCAGAGCAGCACACCCAGAGGAAACACCTCCGAGCCAGAAGAGTAGAAGTACTAATTTTCAGGTGAAACAAGGAAAATACAAATCAAACAAGAAAACAGAACCCTCAAAGATGGAAAACTAAGTCAAAGAATACCTCATGTTTGCTTGTCTTAGGCCCCACTTGGTTCAGACAAAACTGGACAAAGAAATTCCTGCCTAGACCAGGAAGAGTGACTAACATCAGGGACTGACAAGAACTTCCTGGCTGGAATTGCCTCTTCCTCACTTGAGCACATTCTCTCTTCCTCATTCTTGAACACTATAATGGTGTCTTGCACTTAGTGCAGGAAGGAAAAGCTTATCAAATTATTTTAGTTCCATCAGTTTGCACATGCAGATATAAGTGACATATAAGTGAGAAAAACCAGATGCATTTTTTTTTCCCCTATGCCTTCTGCAAAGCGAGAATCAGGGGTTGCCCACTGCTATTTTACTCAGTAGAAGAAAGGGACCCCCAAACAAACAGATACAGAAGACTAACACTTCAATTAATCCTCCAGAGATGTATGGAGACTCCTGCCTTTGCAAATGCAAGCAAAAACACAGTATGCTATAGAAACCCATAGAGAACTGCAAGAAGAATACTCTTTTGTGAGTAGTTCTTTTGGGAAGTAGTAGTGTTCAATTGCATTGAACACTGCATTGTAGAAGTAACACTTGAGATGTATGTTTTATGCAAACATTTTCCGATACAAGAGTTACAAAGAAATGACGAGATTTTCACCACTCAGTTATGATTGAAATCAACACAGATATCCTCATTTTCGCACCAAGAACTCTCCTTTAAGACCTCTACTACGAAGCAGAAAAGGCTTTTCGGTTTCAGAGACTCCAGTGTTCTGCAGTCTTTAAATAAGAAACCTCTAAATCAGGATATTTACAGTGTAGAACACAAACACTGATGGTGGGAGACATAAGGCATTTTTATCTATTCTGATGCATTAGAAAAAAAAAAAAACTTCAAAACTATCAGCAAGATGTTGGAATGCACTAGTTTCAAAATCTGTTTAACAGCTAGCATAAAAGGTTCTCTTAAAACATGTCAATACTGATTCTGAATGCATTACAGGAACTCAAGAAACTGCTATGGCTCTGTTTCTTAATGCTCTCTTTCCAATATTCCACTACTAAAGTGCATAACTTTGGTCCATAAAATAAAGGACCTAATTTGGTAAGTCACTGAATAAATATATGTCAATATATTTTATCCTTCTCTTTTGCCTCATACTGAACTGATTTTTCCTGATTTATTTTTTGTGGTAGATTTTAACCACACTACAGAGAGAGAGAGAGAGCTTAAAAAATAAAATCATGGCATTCTACAGTCTGATTTAAGAGACTTGCATTTTCTGGAAAATACATAGAAAGAGGAATACTGGCCAACTGCATAAAATGCAATGCCTTCTAGCTGGGCAAGGTGCTTAAGAATGTGTCTGAGTTAAGTACATGAGTAATCCCACTGAAATCAATGAAATTATTGACATCCTGAAGTCGGACAGGGGGAAAAATGAAGGTGTTTTGGACCTCTCTGGTATTTTTTAACTGCTAGACATGCCAGAGGGCCTTTTCTTGCTCTTAGGGGCAATCAAACTAAACAGTAGGTCCAAAAGGACTAAACATTGTTGGAAATAGTAAAACAGGGTGAATCTTTGCTTCCACCTTGGCACTCCCAAAATACTCAGAGTGACTGGGCATTTCTGGTGGAGCGCCCAGGAAGAGAAATGGATGAAAGGAGACCATACATAAGCTTGACAATGAGATTTTTAAAGTTTATCTTTAGTGCTGTAGGTAGAGAAGCTGATTAAGAGATTTTGCAAGTTAGGACAATCTGCTGGCCAGTTGCCTTTCGACAAATCCCAGAGCTGCAGAGCCTTCAGAGTGGGGAAGAAACAAAGGCCCCAAGGCAGCTGGAGCTGGTCAAGGCAAAGGCAAATTTACAGTCATTCTGTCTCCTTACTTAAGAAATCACAGCTGTTTTCTTCCTATTTTTCCTAGAAAAACTGCAAGTCGAAGAAGTCAACCTATGTAAACACACTGATAAAAAGTCTCATTAAGTATGACAATAAATATAGCATGTGTTTACTTACCTGCCTGTCTACTTCTGGAAGCAAAAGCAGGAGGTATTGTTGAAAATGCTGAGGTAAAGAAGCAAAGGTGTGTTTATTGATTAAAGCCCTCAGGTTAGTGTTCACTAGAATAGATCCTGGCGTTTCTATGTCAATATCCTCAGCTTTGGTCCATTTCAAATGTCCTGGAGTAAATAAACAAAAAGTGACTTTAAACACAAACAAAGGAAGAGAATATGAACAATAATTATTTTTAAACATTTCATAATTTTGTGAAATACAATGAGCTCCAGAGAAACAGTACTTTAAGAATGGGAACAGAGCCTTTTCTAAGTATTTGAACAACTTCTTTTATATTCCCTTTTGAGCTTCCAGCCAACATTGTAACTGAAATATTCTTCCTTCCAGCTCAAGAGATGTTCCAGCCCAGCATCAGAAGAAAACCTTCCTGTCATTTCATCAACGTCTAGCAAGCATCTAGTCCTAAGCGAAAGGCTGCGTGATGAGGCTGGTGGGAATGAATCGTTAGGCAGAACTTGCATGTTCTGCATCTGCACTGGGGCTGCCTAACTTGTTACACTGCACCTGGAGATGCTCAAGATGAAGAGGACTCCGCAGAGGCTCTGCACAAAAGGTGCAGGTCAGGGAGAATGCACACGGGGTGGATGCACAGGGCTTAGGGAACAATGTGTTCTGGCTATGCATTGGGAAAATGTAATGAGCTTAAACAGTAAGAAATATTTGTGTTAGATACTGGAAAAAAGCAGGGCAAGGAAACACTGGATCAGATTCCCTAGGGAGGCATTGGTCTCCATCACTGGAAAGCTTTGAGAATAGGTTAGAAGAATATCTGTCAGGAATGACAGATGTACAACTGATCTTGCCGTAGGACTGCTGAACAGTCTAGACGACCACTGGAGGTCCCTTCCGGCACCATTTTTTGAAATTATTATTTCTATGATAACATTAGAGTGCCAGAGCCCTGGCACAGGCTGCCCAGAGAGGCTGTGGAGGCTCCTGCTCTGGAGATCTTCAAACCCGCCTGGATGGACCCTGTGCCCCTGCTCTGGGTGTCCCTGCTGGAGCAGGGGTTGGACTGGGGGATCTCCAGAGGTCCCTGCCAACCCCAACCATTCTGGGATTCTGTGATTTAAGGGATACTTTTTAAAGCCCTTAAAAGCCTGCCCGAGGGTGTCTACGTAGTGATCCAGTCCTTTGTTTCATCCACTCTTAACAGATCGTTCCACTGCATCCAATCTGAAACTGGAATAAGTCAGGGACACAGGTGGCCAGGAGACACCAAGAAGTTCCAATTCCTTCAGGTTTTGGTCTGTACAACTTCCTGCAGAGCCTCTAGGAAAACAACTGGGAAAAATATTCCCCTACTATGAGCAGTATCTGGCATTCACACAGGACCTTTCAGCAAGATTCAAATGGATTCAAGAAGAATAGATCTATTTAACAGATGGAGGAGTTTGTGTATACTCATAATAAGGGACTCCTCAAATGCTACAAGGCACTTAACAGTAACATTAATGAAAATTATGGTTTTGTTTCCTTAGAAGTCTATGGTGTGGGCTTCCCTGAAAGCCTATGACATCATCCACAAAACAAGTGAAATGGAGAAAGAAAAAAAATAACAAATTGCAGCAAATTTGTAACTTCTGCAAGCTCCCCCGCAGTCACAGCTTCCCACAAACATTCCTGCAATTTTCTGCTACTTTTAGCAGGCAGTACTAACTGAATGAGACAAGGATTACTTTGCATTCAGCAGAAGACAACCTTTTCCAACACATATTTCCAACCTACTATATTTCAATATAGCAAAGACTCCATTACAAACAAATGAATGCCCTGCTATAAAGGACAATTGTGTGGAAGAAGTGCTCATTTTAATGAGTACATCGCAATAAACTGTCCTCACCATCTGTTCAACCCACTAAATATAAATGCAAAAAAGAACCCAATCCCCACGTGTAAAACAAGCAGTACGGTGTATCTAATTTTAATGCATATATATATATGTTCCTTTTTTTCTTAACCAATACAGAATACCAGTTCCTATCATCTGTGTGATTCCAAATTCCAGTGACATTTTTTTAACCTAATATATCCACAACATTTTGCATGTAACACCCAGGCATTCCAAAATAAAACCAACTACAGGACTGCAAAGGTAGTAACATCTTTCTACTGCATTATCTGACCTCCTACCAGTAATCCAGGCTACTACAGAGATTGTATCAATTTGTGGAGGAAATTGCTTGAGAAATGTATATTACTCCTAGGATGATAGGCCATTAGCTCACTAAGGATGCATATAAAAGCTATACTTAAAAAAAGAAGCTCTTCAGGGCAGCAAATTCTGTCTCCTGCCCCCTTTCTAAGATACAAACCAACTGCCACGTTAAGACCTTTGCTGCAGGTGTCAACGGGGTGATGCCATTTAGGGAAATGCTTGGGAATAGCATGGGGCCTCTGAGGAAGCTGGAAGCCAGTGCTTATCACGGCGTTTTCCTACCCAGAAAGACGTTTTGAATTCCTACGTGGCTGCTGTTGTCGTTCAGGGATGGAGGGACCGCTGACTGCATCACAAACAAGAGATGAAAGAGGATAGAAAAGCACAAACTTATAGGCTTGGAAAGGTTAGTATGAAAGGGGTGGAAGCCCCATAGTTCTGCATCCAAGTATGGAAAACAAAATAGGAAGTAAATGGAAATCATGCCTTCAAAATAAGTCTTTAAGTAAAGGGGGGGAAGCCATATTTAATTGAGGATCAGAAAGTCTATCAAATAGAATATGCAGTGAATACTGGGTAGACCTGCAGAGCTTCAGACAAGTGAGGAATGCCTAGAATGGAAATACACCCTGTATAGGATCCTGGACAACTCTCCAAGATGCTCCACAACTGTTCTGGGAGCATCCCAAGAAGTGCTGGGCCATATAGTGAGCATTTCATCAGCACCCAAACAGAGACGTGTAAACCTGAAGCAAGACTCCAGCCTTCCAAGTCCTGATTGTGTCCAAAAAAGGCTGGGAGATTATCTTTTTCTGAAATACACACACAAAATAATGCATCTATTCTACACATGGTCTCAGAGGCCAAGAGCTGATGGGATATCAGGGCATGGGGAGGAATTGATAGACCACAGCATTATCTCAACCAAATCCAGAGGAAAGTTACAGGAAATCATCTGGGATTGGACATATGTTTGCATGACAAAAACGGTAATCCTGAAGAAGATTTTCAGGTTTAGATAATGCCATTAGATTAACATAGAATATGACCTATCTCCCAGAGACCGATGAATAATCTGCAGAAAGATTATATACGAAATCAAATTTCACAGGAGGCTGGAAAATATTAAAGCTCGAATGAAAGTTCACCAGAAACTGGTTATAACAGATTTAACAAGCAAGCTACGTTATTTAGCAAATAAAGTATCATAAGTTTATTTTACAGAATTGTTATGTGATAAATATGACAAGGTAAGAAGAAAAAAAAATCACCATAAAGACATTCAATAATTTTTGAGGTTATCCAATCACTACAAAAAGATTTTCGCTAACTTTTCCAACTTGGTCACATTATGAAATATTTCTCTAAATGATTCAGCGGTCTGCTGAATGCAAAAAGTCCTCTGTAAAGATAAAGGAACAGTTATATAATTATTCTGCTTTGCTTAGCTAAGACAAGAGTCTGAGTGAACACTACATTTTCTATTCCTGAGGGAACTTTTCCAATTATATTCCATGCAGAGCAAGAAAATCGGCATATCACACAGAGCTATTAAGAATTTACTCTTATCATCTCTTCAGAGAACATTCTTTATTAATTACAGATGATCATCCATGAATCTTGCTGAAAAATGTGGAAAATAACAAACAGAAATTTTATCAAACATCTCTAGAGATATAGCTTCAAAATAATTAAGGATACAACTGAAGAAACAAGGCCAGCAAACAAAGAAAATCAACCAAAAATGATAATGTCAATACTCAGTATGACAAGGGAAAATGTATTGGAAGAAAAGAGGGTCATCTTCGTAAGACATATATGTAAGAAAATGTTATCTGCTTTGGCAGTAAAAATGTATGTAACAGCAAAAAAGAATATTTGCTGGTTAAAAATAAACAACACACAACAGCATAATGCAGCAATCAGAAGCCAGCTGCTAAGTGACCACTGGCTGCTTAGGTCTTTTAAGGTGTGTCAAACCTCAAAAAGCAACGACAGAGAAGCCTTCTGGGAGGGTTAGCCCTATAGATTTTGTAGGAGGACAGAAAGAAAAACGTTGCTGGAGAAGGAGTCATCTCCTGAGTTCAGGAAGAACCCAGATAAGCCAGAAAAATAAAACTCTAATGAGGACATAGAGTCTTCAAAAATAACAGTACTACAATAACAGATAAGACAGTTATTTTCATTTTACTCACCTAAACCAGATTTTTTTAACCTTTTTAAGTGCTGGCTTGTTTGTTTTCCACTTGGAGACTTTTGCCCATTTTTCATCTCTTTATCAGAACCGTCTGCTTCACCATTTTTAGATTCAGACCCTGAGGAAAAGAAAACAAAAATCTAAAATGTGAAACTGATGCACTTCTCTCTCCCCCAACACACACACACTGTTAACACAACAAAAAAGATTAATAAAAAATATGACATCTGCTGGCTGAAAGTCACGATTTTCTGGTTACGATTCGATTCCTCATCATCAGAGGAAATGGAAGTAAAAGCTCAATAAATCAATTAAGTGGTGAAAACTAAAGTTTACTGAACACTGCAGTCAATAAAAATGTTCACTGATCTAATAAAAATAATGTTTTCCTCTAATGCCCAAGAGATATCTTTAAAAATAATTTAAACATTAAGTTATGGGGTTCTGAAGCAATCTGAAGGAGAAAAACAACACATTTCTTTGTGAAATAACTTTCATAAAAAGCTATGCCTGTAAACCCAATTGTCAATCTGTGTTAAACACAGATGTAGGAATCTCATAAAATGAAGCAATTTAACAGCCAGAACTAAAGGTCAGGATTACGCTGTGGTGGTAAGAATGGTACCAGAACAAGAAAAGCTAACAAAAGATTTCCAGTATTGCAGTGCAGAATTGAGACACAAATTCACACCCTCAGAAAAGCCTGTCTTTTTTTTTTTCCCTCCCCTTTTTATGGCATTCAGTACCAGCATGTGGTCCTCCACTAGAGCCCAACAAAACGTTATTTTGCATTCCTTTAAAGCTGCTGCTATATTCAATTGTCATTTTATTATGTCTCTTCAGCTATTTATTAAAATTAAAGAAAAATCTGCATCCTGAAGTCACCAGATTTGATAAGAAAAAAAAAAATGTTAAACAAAGCCATCATGGAATTATTATTTTCAGCAGCTCCAAACCCCCTCTGCTGCATATCTGATTCACAGGAAGGCTCTGTGACTAGAAGTGATCTTTCAAGCAGAGCTTTAGCTGTTTACCTGAAGGTGAATCCGACTGCTCATCAGACACCTTTAATGGTGTCAAAACAACACGAGGAACAGTCTTGTTTACCATCATTGAGACTCCATTTCTTCTTTTCTGCTGTTGTCTTAAAGCCTACAAAAATGATAACAAAACATAAAAATGTAACAAAAAATACTGCTCATAAATGAATTGCATGAGACATTTCTCTACCATTAAACTGAATCTCTGAAAGCATAATTTACATAGCTACTGATTTGCCAGACTTCATACTCGTCCCCTTTATGTCATTTTCCTTTAAAACATAAAATCAGGCTTTTGGTTATAAAAAGAAAGAAGATGCACCTTATATCATTTTCCAATACAGTTCTGACAACAAAGAAGCATATAACTGTTTGCTCTACCTTAGCAGCACAACATGATTACCCATGGAATTTGCAACTAAGACTTCCAAATAAAAAAAAAATAAGTAAAATAAAAGCTTTAAAACCAGAATAAAAATATATGTCTGCGTATCTCTTGCAGGTGCATCCTCTCCAGTATACTGCTCAGTCAATCAAGTTAACACAGAGTGTCATCAGCATGTACAGCATGTAAGGACTACAGTATTGATGCACTCACTGAGCCGTGAGTAGCGCTGCACAAAATCACTGAACATGGCAGGAATCATTTATTTTTGTGAAGGGAATCAGTCCTAATCTTGGAAATGTTGCGGCACTTGGCTTCTGTCTGCTTGACTTTGGGCATTAACCTTCAGAACACGAACATGATGGTGTTCTGGCAAATCTGGGGAAAAACGATACAAAAATAAATCTCCACAAATGGGAGTGCTTTGTGTTTCATAAATGGATTGAATGCAGGGCTGATAATGTAATACAAAATATTTAAAGCTTAGAAATAGCAAATACCTGGCAGACTGTTTTATATGGAAAAATGCTGTCTGATTCAAAAGTCCTATTATATACAAATATGAATATTTGCCAGTTAATAGATTTGCAAACATTAAAACTGTGGAACAAATCAGAATGGGTTGGGCTTAATACTGATCTCTTACATCATCCTGTCTGTTCTTGTCTAATCTTACTGTGCACTCTCTTTTTATAGCTGTGATTTGTGTTACGGTCTTCAGGAGGATTTATTAAAGTGATACTGTACCAATAAGGTATGTATTTGATACGAATTATGCCTGTAGCTTTATGAGCATGAATGACCAATGACTTATACATTTTAGTCTGTATCTTCAATTAATCTGTAATATCTTTCCAAAATGTTCCCATAGTTAAGTCAAAAAACCCTCTGGAAAAATAAATCAATATCACTCTACTCTTCTAAATAACACATTTTACAACATAAAATAGAGGGAGCCACACAAAAGCTATTTCATTGATTAACTCCTTTTATAGTACACTTCTTAAAATACACATAAGGACTTCACAATAAAAAGCAAATTACAGCACTTGGAATCAAACAAAGAAAAGAAGCTGGTCAGATCTGTACATACCCAAAGCAGCAAGCACAAAGCAATGAAAAACAAACTGTATCTTTGTCATTTTCGAGACAGAGATTTCATATTGCTTTTGCGCAATGACAGTCACACTTGCAGGCACAAAATTCCAAACCATTAACATTTCTCAAATAATACCCCAAATTACCCAAACTGTTGCTAAGTGCACGGTCCTGCCAAGCTACATGTCAAGCCGTGTGACCCTCATTCAATAGCAAAGTGACGCACACAGTAACAAACAGTCCCTTAAGGATCAACTGAAAGGAGAGCCAAGCGGTGGCCGTGTACGCGCGGAAGTGCCACCCAGCCCTGGTGCTGCTGGGGTGACGCATCGCAGAGGACACCACAGGGCTCCTCACTGCTGCCCAAGCGACACCCCGTCATCTCCCAGTCTAAAATTCAGCCTCTTTCCAGCAAGTGGCCTTGCAAGATCACTCGGTCGCTCTGTCCCCTAGCAAAGGCCGTAACTTTGTTGCCAGCGCCTTTCGGATACACCATCTTTATGGTTTATAGATCCAGTGAAACAAAGGCGGGGTCGGGCGCCATGAACGTGAGGCACGGGCGGCGCTCCCGTCACCGCGCGTCTCGGGGGCGCTCCTTGCGCCCGTCCTGCTGTGGCAAGGGCAGCGGCCAAGGCGGTCAGCAGAACCACTTACCTTCTTCTGAGACGCGGGAGGGCCACTTGCGGTGGGCCTGGAGCGCGTGGGGGTAGTTTTGGCACTTCAGCAACAACAAGCGTTTGCCACGACAAATTTTCAGAGCCACAAAATGCGCCAGGGACTCGTGTCCACAAGGGTTCATGTGGTGCACAGCCCGCCCCTGAGACAGACGGGCTCGGTGACCAGGCAAGCACCTCAACAGGTGAGAAACAACCCTACCGAGGACATTCCCCTCAGACACATTTTTGCTTTGAAGTTTTCTTTCTTTTTTTCCCTGCAACGTTCATTATTTCACTGCTGGTGCCTCTGCCCATCTCCGCTTTCACAAGAATCCATATGAGGAAGAACTTCTCTGGTGTGAGGGTGCCAGAGCCCTGGCACAGGCTGCCCAGAGAGGCTGTGGAGGCTCCTGCTCTGGAGATCTCCAAACCCGCCTGGATGGACCCTGTGCCCCTGCTCTGGGTGTCCCTGCTGGAGCAGGGGCTGGACTGGATGATCTCCAGAGGTCCCTGCCAACCTCAGCCATTCTGGGATTCTGTGAATAACGCAAAGAGCAGATCGCCACGCGGGCCCCATGGTTGAGTGCAAAATTTAGGGTGTGCAGCACGACTCTGACTGACAGAAGAGATGCTCGCATGGGGAAAGCAGAAAGACAGGCTATAGGACGAACACCTTTTAAAACAAGGTGGACATTGCTATGTCAAAACTTTAACACAAAGTGCCAATGAAATGTGCAGTGTCCAACAAGCAGACTAATACTCTTCCTTGCACCCCTCCATCATTTCATTTGACAAAGGAAAGATATGAGGCAGGGCAGGAAGGAAATAAAATATCAACAAAATAGTCTAGCCTCTGGTATATACAGTAAAGAGATGGCTGGGGCTTTGCTGACTCATCCTGTCTAGTAGAAGAGACCGCTTCTAGCTAATCACACTTGCATTTCTATAACTCTAATTTAAAGTTGTAGGTCTACGATCTAGGAGACACAAGTCTCTGCAAGAAAACATTAGCAGCAACCAAGAAATTGCAGACTGAAGTCTAGTTTTTAGAAAAGCCAAACAGCAGAAGGAGTTAAGTATAAACCAAGGGCACCGTGAGCAGCCACTGCCAAGGAGGAATATATAACTGCTCCGCGCTTAGCCTGAGGGGTATTAATTTTAGGATACCAGACTACTGTAGGATGAGACAAGAATCTTGTAGCCCAAGATTAATTCTGCTTAGCTTGGAAGTCAATGGGATTACTCAAAGTGAAACATACACTTACTGCTTGGCTGTATTGAGGCCTCAGTGTACCAGGCTCATTTAGTGCTTTCCTAGTCCCCATTAGCAGACAAATCTCTAGGTTTAGCGCTTTGGGTGAAGGGAATAAACACGGAGTAGATGAGTCAAATTTGTAATAAGCACTGAATAAGAAAATGAGAATTTCTTAAACTGATTCCAAAGAAAAATTGTTCCGAGTCTCACTGTGGATACAGAGACAGCAACTAACACAAGCCACATCTGCAGCTTTTACAGACATAACCTCTTGCATCTCATGCATATTTAGATATATGACCTCCTAGCTGGGCTGTCTGTGAGAAGAGACAATGTTTCTGCCACATGATAAAGAATCATTTTTACGATTTCAAGTAACACAGAAATATATACAGCATGTATAATAGCTTGCATAAAGCGTATTTTCTCCTAAAAAGATGAGCTTCCATGTTTACATTTCAAATGCTTTCAATCACTTTGTGGTAAATGCTTGAGTTAAAAAAAAGCTGCAAGCTCTAAATTCCTAGAAGAACTGATCACCGTCAAAGTAATCTGTAAAACATTATTACCATTCTGCCTGCGCAGCACAGAAATAGAGAAAATAAAGAAAACAGAAGTTCATGTGGTATGCAAGTTAAACATTAAAATCCTTCTCAAAATCATCACCAAAATATAGTACTTACGTCCAGCTTCTCATAAGTGAATTCTTAAAGTACATCTGTGAATCTCTCGTACATAATGAGCATGAAGAACTCCCAATATCCCTATTCATAAAACAGAACCTGTGACCATCTGTTGAATAACATTGCCATGGTCATTAGGCAGGGTCTGGCATAATTAAAGGCATTTGTTTAAATGCTGAAAACATTAAGTAACCTCTCAACCCAATTTGATCCAAAGAAACTCAAAATAACACAAAAATATGTGTACTAAGAAAACACAAATTCTGAAAACACGTGACAAAAGAAAAAATGAAGATACAACTAACAGTAATGTTCCAATCCAAGATGATTTTTTAAGAAGAGGTCATAAGGGCAGATCTCCTTCTACTTTTGGGAGAGTGTCCATCCCCACTGCGCACCAGTCTGCTGGAGGCTTCACCAATGCCACCGTCCCTTCTAAGAACAGGCTTTTCATATTTAGTTGACTTCAACATAGGAAAGACTTTTTTTTTTAAACTGACGTGACAAAATGACAGACCATCTTCAATAAGAATAAAATAAAAAGGTTTTCCTTGAAGCAGGAATGAAAGAAAACGATATAAACTAAAAGGTAACTGCGGGGAAAAAATACATCCCCAAAAGAATGCAGTAGATCCTGTCTAAGCCCCAAGAGCAAAATGTCAAGCTCTATGTTCTTATCTTACTGCTGCGTAGGATTTCTTTTAAATTATTTTTCTTTTCTCACAACTTTTCAACACATAATGAAACAATGCAGCATGCAGACAAACCATTAATGCAGAAAACCACTTTCATTTGAGTTTAAATGCATGACATGCTTGAATATTAAAAATTAAGTTAATAGCAACAAAGCTATGTTATACTTGGTTGCATTCAGCAACACTGTCCCAGATTTCTATTTGTTCCATAAATGTCAAGTTCTGAAGCTCGTATCATGAAACATAACCTTTGAAATTTCACACATTATGGATCAGAAATATAAAGCTATGGAATTCTTCTGTTCTGCCATGTGAAAAACAAGATCTATGATATGCTGAGAAAAGTCTATTGCACAAAATAAATAACAACTCTACATTATGGTCATGGATCCTGAATTGGCAAAGATGAAACAGATTTATAGTTTATCACTGATTCATTTAACACCATCATAAAATTCAGTCTTTGTCCTCTTCCTTACCCTCATTTTGTTAGTAAAATTAAGGGAGACTTTAATTCCCATGTCTCTCTTAAATTACAATCTCAGTGGCAACCTGTTTCATGGGTGCACTGAGCAGTTAAAATATAAGAGTGAGCACTACAAATCATGAAGAGCAAACACGTTATTCTCGGGATGCCACTACTACTTATAATTAACATACATTAAAAGTACTCATTTGTAAACACACAAATGTAAAATTAACACAATAAAACAGATCTCTCATAGAAACAACTGCGAAATACAAAGTACTATTTCCAAACACAGAATCAGTTAATTTACTTCCAGGCAGTCTTGTGGATCAAATACTGGTGCGACATGTACAAGAGCGATAATTTGGAAATCAAGAGAAGTCTGGTGCTATAATACCAAGCTGCAAGTTTGGAAATCTAGGTTGTATTTGTAAATTTTGTTAGCTAACTTCTAAAATACATGCCCATTCCTGCCCATGTCACTTTCCTGCCTTGTGACATATTTATTTTTGTTCTTGGAACAAAGATAATTCTTTAAAAAGCCTAATAAAGGGCACATATTTGTTCCCTGAGCAGCCTTGGCAGTGGTCAGGCAATTTAAGTACAACTACAGTATATATAAACAACTGAACATCTGTTCTCCAACATGGAAATGAAGTACTCAGATATTTTTGGTGCAGAGATGGACATATGGATGTGCATTTATGTGAGTGTTCACACACCTGCAAGTCACTTCTTCTACCTTCTACAGGGGGAACAATAATGCAACCACTGCTGCAATTGCTGCAGATCACTATCAAGAGCCAAGAAACCTTTTCTGTTACTTTCCCAAGAGCAGAAACAAGAGAGAAGGACAAGAAAATTCACAATGGGCTCAACACCTCTTCAGACTTGCATGAGAATGGGGCATATGCCATAAGATGGCATATGCTTCAACTCAATAATACTTTTTTTTTTTTCCAAAAAAGAGGGGAGGGATTTTGTTTTGTTTTGAAATTGTGTGCATAATATTGAACTAATAATATCAGTAACTTTCAAAGTGCTTTTATGAGGAAATCTCTTTTTCAGGAGAACAAAGTACATATAGTCAAGGAAACCACTTGCGCACAGCAGCTTAAAAACAAACTAAAATAAAGGTAGAAATGTCAATACAAATTGTTAAGGCTTTCCTTTAAGTCAAATCTGCAAACAGACTTTGCACAGGATTCCAAGTATACAGGGGAGCTACAAGACTAGTTTACCATCCTCCAGATAAACTATCTCCATTGCAGAAACGTGCAGGACTGCACACACTGCAGCAGTGCAAGTAGTTAGAGCGTCCTGCCCCGCTTCCAGAAATTCAGCTCGGGTTCTGCCACACACGTGTCCACACATGGAGCCCTCCAGAAACCTCCCCAACAGACCAGAGCCACATTCGCAGGAAGCTGGTTCTTGTAGGGGCCTTCATCCCTACAGCCCTGAACCACCGGGAGCTGTTCCCACTCCTGGCTCCCCTGAAAATGGCAATCATTTCTAGGAAATGCTTGAAAATCAAGGCAAAATTCG